GAAAGAGTCCAGTGCAGAACAATAAAAATGATTACAGGCCTTGGAGACGAGAGTTATGAAGAAAGGCTGAAATAAAGTCATTTGTTTAGTTTGGAAAAGAGAAGACTGAAGCAGGATTTGATAATAGTCTTCTAATACTTGAAGGGCAATTACAGAAAGGATGTAGATGGGCTTTTCTCCATGACCATAGGAGCAATGGCTTCAACCTTCAGTAGCAGAAATTTATGTTTGAGGTTAGGAGGAACTTTCTGACTCTCAGGATGGTCAAGTCTTGGAACAGGCAACCTAAAGAAATTGTGGAAGTTTTCAAGAGCAGGTTCAACAGACACTTGGCTGGGATTTAGTCAAGGATGATCCTGACTTGAGCAGGGGTCTGTGCCAGATGACCTTGGGAGGTCACTTCCAGCCTTGGTTTCCTATGATTCTATATGAGGGGCATGCAAGGTTAGTTAGAGCAGGTTAAGGTCATGTGCTGCCCTTGTGTTATTTAGACCCGTGGTGTTCTCTTGACACCAGCTATTCTCTTCCCGGCAGACATTGCCTGGGACACAACAGCAGATTCTGGGACATCTGTTAATAAGAACTCAAGTTTTCCTAAGAAAAATTAGCACTTACCACAAGCAACTCCATAAGGGCGTATTCTCTTAAACTCCTAGCCCCAGACTAAAAGAAAAGGCATTAATTGAAAACAGTTCAATTAATTGGTTCAGGTCTTCATGGTACTGATGACAGGGACCCTTCCAAGAAAGAGGAAACCCTTCAGAATAGTTTGCAGGACATTATAATTTGCAACAAAAAGAAATCAGAGAATTTCTGGCATCTGACATGTCCTCACCATGACCTCCAAAGTAGAGGGCAAGGGCTGCTTTTAGGGTTCACAGTAGGGCTGTGAGAAACAGCAGCATTCCGCTTCGACGGAACAGTGTTTTGTTTCGAGTTTCGTTTCAAAAGCACTGTTCCATTTTGTTTAATCGAAACTGTTTTGCTGTTTCGACGTTTCACCCATAGGCTATAATGGGGAAGCACAAAACAGCCTATAACTTTGTCATTTCTTGTCTGATTCCGATGAAACTTGCAGGGAGGGTAGCCCCTTCTGAGGGCATGAAGCCTGCCAAGTGTCAAGGAGATAGGTGCAAGGGTTTCTAGGAAACTGCACCTCAAGCAGCTGACAAGCAGGAGCAGTGTCCTGTGATCCGGCAGGCAGATGGGGGGCCCACACTACTAGGAGGAGTCCGGCAGAGCCCCCACAGCCCTCCTGGGGGTGCGGGTGGGCCCCAGTCTGCCTGCCGGATCACAGGACGCTGCTCCTGCCTCCTGGAACCCAGCGCTGGAGAACTGAGCCTGGCTGGGGAAGCACCTCCCACCGCTGGGTTCAGTTCCCAGTGCTGCGGACTGAGCCCGGTGGCGGGAGGCACTTCCCCCAGCTGGGCCCAGTTCCCCGGCGCTGGGAACTGAGCCTGGCGGTAGAAGGCGCTGGTTTTGTTTTGAGGCTGTTTCGAAGCCCTTCATTTCATTTCAATGTCGCTGTTTTGAGCTCGAAACAAGTCAAAACAGCATTGAAACGAAACAGCCGGCGAAGCGTCGCACAGCCCTAGTTCACAGTACAGATGGAAAAGCAGTCTCAGAGTAATCCAACAGAAGGAATCAGAGGGCACAATCTGCAGAGAGTAAGTAGGAGGAATGGAACAATTTCAAGAGAGGAGTGGTTGGAGACATGCTTGCAAACAATACACATCCAGAACTCTCACATACAGAACAAGACAGGCAGCAGATTCATGAAGGGGTTTCAGTAACTTGGCCTTACTAGAGGGAACTGTTTTGGGGATCAATAGAATTCAGTGCAGTTTCCATGAAATCACTGTTTGAAGATTGTTACAAGCCCAGGAGTCACACCAGCTGCCACAAGTAAAATACATAAAAATACTGAACCCTTTAACCCATTACCTGATAGTAGACCGTCACTTCTGAGTTGGCATCACCTTTGTTGAGGGCTTTCACCTTACAGAGCAGGTGCGTGTTTGGCAGGTCCACCACCCGGAACTGGACAGGGCACGGGTGTGCGAGGGGAACGAACTGCAGCTTTCTGAAGAGTCCAAGCAGCAAGCGTCATACTCCTGCCCATTCCTTGACCGAGGCAAACCACCAGTCTCACAACCCAGATGCCCCAGGAGTCAAATCAGTCTCCATCCCTCCTCAGGCCACAACAAAATTAACAAGATGTCCCATTTCACCTGCCACCATGTCTGAACCCCAAGGCAGATTCCCAGAAACTAGTGATGATACAGTTACAATGTTTCTTCTTGAACAGGAAATTCCAGATTTCAAACCAATCTCCCCACCCTCCACAAAAAAAGAGAAACCAGTTAACCAAAGGGCATAACTTTGTTATCTGCTTCCCAAGTGGAAAGAGGGAAAAAATCAGATACTCACTGAACAACGTAATTCAGGAAGTCCTTTGACTTCTAGGAAATGAAGAATCAACACAGTTTAGGAGAATGGGTTTGTCAATCCCAATACATATTCCAGCCGCGCCCTTGCCAGCCCTACCCTTCTACTGTTACAGCACCAAATCAGTCCCTTCCCTACAAGGCGACTGTTCAGTCTGGTCTATGTTATGCTGTAGAAGGGATCAGACATCTCCCATCCAGTATGTTGCTCAGGGGCTTTAGTCTCTCAATGTGGAAGCCAAAAAAGAGGGAGTTAATGGGAGAGAAATGACTCTTGGAGAGTGGGTCAGTAAGCAGGTCGGAGTATGTGCAAAAGGAGCATGAGGGAAGGGCCTTTCTTGCTTGGGAGGCTGGAAATGTTTCGAGGGAGCACCTTGGGCTCCTGTGAAGACAATAAATCAGTAGCAGAGCTTACTGCTGGTGCTGCAGGATGTCTCTGGGGGCTGACAGGGCAGCATGTGTCCACAATGGATTTACTTCACTTACATGCTGCGGGGCTTGGTGCAAAATGCATGGGGCACAGACAGTGTTGCAGCCCTGGCTAAACCCCAACTGACCCCACAAGCAAGGGCATACTTGTCACTAAAACAGTCCCTGCCCCCAACAGGACATTGGCATGTTTCCCCCACAGACAGACTGTTCAAGGACAAACATGACCAGCTAAGTGAAAGTGATGGGCACAAAGTGAAAACAGTGGGTTTGTTCAGGTCTCTCTTTCCTCCTTCCTGGCGACACAACAGCACCCGTGTTACCTGCATGTAGAGCTAGCCCTTGTCACCTGGGTTTTGAAAATCTGGGGATACAGACTGAGATTAAGATTGTGTCACATCAAATTTTACCAATTACCAGCTATTACAATGTAACTGTTACCTTGGCATCCTCCTTTCATGATATAAAAGTAGCAAAATCATTGCAACCTTAACCCTGCTTCATTCACCTTACAATTCAAGTAATTTAGCTCTCTTGTACCACTACAGAACCATGCTCCACTTTGGGAGAAAAAACCAGCATCATACTTATAGGCTCGGCAGTGCTACACTTGGCTAGCACCACAACTGAAAGAGACTTGGGGGTCTTGACTGACCACAAGATGAACATGAGTCACCAATGCGGTGCCACAGCCAGCAAAGCAAATCAAACTCTGGCTTGCACCCACCGGTGCATCTCAATCAAAAACAGGGATGTCATCCTCCCGCTTTACTCGGCCTTAGTGAGGCTGCGGCCGGAGTACTGCGTCCAGTTCTGGGCCTCCCACTTCAGGAGTGACGTCGATAAGCTTGAGAGAGTCCAAAGGAGAGCCACACGCATGATTAAAGGCCAAGAGAGCAAGCCTTACGAGGAGAGGCTGAGGAACATGGGACTCTTCAGCCTGGAGAAGAGAAGGCTCAGGGGTGACTTGGTGCCAGCCTATAAGTATATAAGGGGGGTGCATCAGGATCTGGGAGAACAGTTGCTCACCAGGGAACCCCAAGGGATAACAAGGTCTAATGGCCACAATCTACTAGAAGGCTGATTTAGACTGGACATAAGGAAAAACTTCTTTACTGTCCGAGTGTCCAGGGTCTGGAACAGACTCCCCCCAGAGGTGGTGCAAGCACCTATTCTGGACTCATTCTAAAGGTGTTTGGATGTTTATCTTGCTGGGATCATTTGACCCCAGCCAACTTCTTGCCCAATGATCTCGCAAGGTCCCTTCCAGCCCTAATGTCTCTGAAATCTATGAAATCCCGGCCCCGGCCCCAGATGCAGCTCCCTGCTCACCTGCAGCCCCATCCCAGCCGAGCATAAAGCAGAGTCATGATCCATGGAGACCAGCTGGGACCTGCATGGGCAGGACACACAGCCAGAGAGACAGGATGGGGCTGTTCAGGGAGTTTTGGTGAACTGTTGTGCAGGGAAGGGGGTGCTGACCCAGCCTGCAACAGCTCACCAAAACTCCCTATGTGGCTCATGGGCCCAAATAATTGCCCACCCCTCATTTATAGCATCTGTTAACTAGATCAAAGCTAGAGCTAAATCCCACAGCCTTCAGGCAAAAGTTGTCATTGACTTCATTATGACTAGCTGCAACAACAAGACTGGACTCTAAAAACCCCATCACACTGGCTGAATTTGTACTGCCAGCTTCAGTACAATTACAGGGCAATCACAGATACACTAGAGCTAGAGCACTTCACTGCAAATAAACAGTAGGCACATCTACACATGCAATTAATGCAGCTGAATAAACTCCGGCACTTCACACCATAATTTATTGCTCTCAGACACCGCGTTTGTACATTGACCGCAGCACACTGCAACCCCACACTGAAGTGCCCTCATTGCCCCAGCCAGCCCCATCAGTATCTACATGTGCATACACTTGTGTCTACCCTTGTGTCTGGCAGTACTATCCTATGGCAAAGTTAATTAGTTTATGCCAACCTAATAGCACCGCATGTGTAGATAGTGACATTCTACTGCAGAGCTAATTAGTCAACTCCACAGTAAACATCTTGTGTAGGTGCATGCACCCACTGGGAAAGCAAGTGGGAACAGGCTTAGCTGCTTTTTTACCATCACAGAATCCAGATGTACAGTATAGAAAATACCAAATATATTTATGCAACATGGGGTAAAATCACCAGTGGGTGGTGTAGGCAAGCACTCCGAGTGTTAGCAGGTGATCAGGGCCTGTGAGAAATATTCCCCAAACTGCCCATGCACACAAGGCTGGTGAAAGTTATACATGAGGCTTGTGGCAAATGTACTTAAACACCTTTTAAACTTGGCAGTTACCAGAGAAGGCAGAGGCCAAACTGCAGCTGCTGAGTCCAGTACTCACTCTGCCAGTTAAGTTTCCTTGTGCTAGCCCCTCCACAAAGAGATGTGATTTGAAAGCCTTAATGAAAGCTGATAGAGACGCAACAGAAACGCCTTTCATCAGTCTTTGGTATTTATCTATTATGGACCACCGGCCGTGTTCCAAAATGAAGAGACGCACATCCCTGTAACAGCAACAGAACATTTTTAAATGCATGTCAATTCAGACTACATGGCCCAATACCGATAACTGTCTGCTGATTCAGTCCTGGGATTCATAACTGTGGCAAAAGCAGGACATTCACTCAATGGAGATCACTTAAATTACTGATATTAAGCAGTTTGTGACAATGTCCAGCATGACAATAAGTGGGAATTTTCCAGTGTCACTTTGTGTGGAAATCAGCCATTGATGGTGAAAGCTGTGATAGTAGGTTGAGTATGATACAAAAAGGAGTGATATTGTATTTTCTCACATACAGCACACCCTTTCCTCCACCCCAATAAGATACACCCCTTCTTTCTGAAAGGCAGAACCAAGGGAAACATAGGAAGCTGCAGTTGAGGAAAGGGAGAGGGGAAGCAAAACACTGTGGTTGCTCTGTTAACCCCCTAGCTGCAGGACACCATGTTCAAACTACCCAATCCCACTTCTCTTCTTGAGCTGAGTTTGGTAGGCAGTCAGCAGGGCCTGCCAGGTCAACTGAGGGTCCAGTCCTAGCCACAGCACCTGTGGAGTCAGCTGAGGGCTCTGTGGATTCAGCATGAGCCTCTGCCCCAGCAACTGGGGCTAATGCTCCATTTCAAAATACATGAGAGCCAAGCCCTGGGCTTCAGCTGAGTCATCTGCTGAAGCATGAGCCTCTGGCTGGGGGAAGAGAAGGTGTTCATAGCCAGAAGCAAAGGAGCCTCTGAGTGTTGTGTGTGGGGGGCAGCATATGCAGCACTGTAGATTTCCACACTTAAAACATGCACCCCAATTTCAAGCAGCTCATTTTGGGACAACAGATGCACACTGTATCCAAGCAAATGTGATAGTACCCAGGTTTGAATGTATAACCAACACTGTCCTCAAAAGTTTTGGAGGAAGAAGAGAAAAAATTTGATGAGGAGAAAGACAAGGACTCTGACTGTGATCCACTGGCTGCATTTTTTATCATTAAAAGAAAACAAAGGCATAAGTTTGCTTGCTTGACTTATATGGCAGTGTAAATGTGCCATTCTTCTCCACTCTTAAGACTGTTTATTCTGGGTGAAACTAAAGTTTGAGAAAATTCTTTTTAGTGGATGATACACCAAGCAGACAAGTCACAAATGTAACAAACTTCAGATTGGCTGGTTTTTGGTTTTTTTGAATGAAAACCACTATGTTGCTAGTTTTATATTCATCCTCATAATCCCTAAGAAGAATGATTTAGGGTAGGGACTTTCATGTGCCCTGAACTGAATTATCGGGTGCAAAAACTAATTTGCAGTTCAAGAAGTTTCTTGAATGTTCAAAGCAGACAAGGTTCTTTGGGTGAATCTAATATCTTTTATTAGACCGACTTAAAGAGTTCGGAAAAAAATTTTAGCAATTTTTTCCAACTATTCAAGTTGGTCTAATAAAAGATATCAGATTCACCCAAAGAACCTTGTCTGCCTGTGTCCTTAGACCAACACAGCTACCACTTACACCCTTGAATGTTCAAGGATATAGAAGCTTCTGGAATGCTTTGGAAAACTATTATAAAGGGTTTCAGGTGTTTGCTTGATGAAAGAGGTTGTTTGCCACGTTAGCCTGAAGTCAGGCAAAAGGCAGGGTAGAGTTGCACCTTATAGACTAACTAAAACAGAGATACATAGCATATGCTTTTGTAAGCACCAGGCGTACGTCATCAGAGGCTCTCATCTAATGAAGTAAACCCACACCTTAAAAAGACTTATGCTATGCATCTCTGATTTAGTCAGTCTATAAGGTTCTAATCTACTCCACATTCTGCTTGATAAAAGCCCGTTTTAGGCAGCATAAGCCAATTTTGACTATTTTAAACAAGTTTTGACCATCATCTAAGTCAAAACTAACAGAAAAAGCGTTGCTTGCCAACGCTGCATGGTGCAGATGCTGTTAACTGCATAAGGAAAACTGCAGGAGTCATTCAAAAAAGACCAGACACTTTTTAACTCTAGTTTAGCTTTCTCTAGTTTTCTGAAAGAGCAATAATTTTGTTTGGAGGAGGAGTGGATAGGAATAAAAAAATGTCCTGTCACCTAAATTCTCCATGCAAGTGAATGCACAGGCACTTCCATATCAAAGGTCTTAACTTTGACAGTTATCACATTAACATTCGTGAGATTTATGACATGTTTTGATACTTTATCACCATTCTTTTTCCTCATACGCTTTAATCACCTGAGGCTCTTCAAATAGGTCCCATCACATAAAAGATTTGCAACTTTCTTCATAGTTTGTAAAAAAAAACAGTCCACAGCTTGTAAAAAATAGTCCCACCTGTATTCTCCCAGTACTGTATTATATAATATATATAAACTTTTTAATTTGTCCAACATTCATCCTTATATAAACCAATATTCACCTCTGCTTTGGCATCTGATCAGTAGCACCTGCCACTTATCACAAGAAAGAGGTACTCAACAACTCAAGTATTACGCTCTAAACATGTAAAGATCGTGCTACGATTTACTTTATCCTGCACTAATGTGAAGAGAGACAACTGCAGGAGCTCCTTCACTGTCATGACAAAACAGTGTAGGCAGAGATACCTTCCTTCTGTCTATACTTTCACCCTTAAAACTAGTCTCCCCACAGACACTTACTTGGCCAGCATCTCTGGTGTTATGAGAATATTAAAATAAGTCTTCTTCAGCTGCTCTGTTATCATCTCAAAAGTTGCTGGAGTAAAATTGAAGTCAGACAAGTGGTCAATGATAAGCTGAAAGAGCAGCTAAAAGAAAATATTTTTGAGTAATTTTAAGGAAGTGGATTTGTCAAAGAAAACAAATATCAAGTCTATCTTACATAAAAAGGAAACTTCTCTGAGAATCCATAGAAAATCAATGCAAGGCCAAAGAGAGGCTCATAAAACATGCTGCAAAGACCTGTTAAATATTCTCTAAGCAACAGCTGAGTTTCACAAAAAAATACAGTTCAGCATTGAATAAGAAACAAATTGGTTAAGAATAAGCTTTTGATTGCCAGGATACATCACTGCCATAACACCTAAATCAACAGCGAACTTTGTTAAAATCATACGGATCATTTCAGACTTAAAAGAAAATCAACAATGACTCGCATAACTAATATTTAAGTAATGGGCTAGACTTCATCATTTACATGTTGTGCATTTAAATTTTCAGATGTAATACCGCAAAAGAGAGGCTGGTTCCTTGTAACCAGTGTTCTTTAAGACAGACCCAGCCTATGAATGCTTGAACTTGTCAACCTCTGCAGCCTTCACAGTAGAACATTCTCTTTGTTCACTCAGGGGTATGTCAATGAGAAGTAAATAGTGAATCACTATCAATGGGCACATGATATGCTCTTACTGCTGTAAGGGTATGTCTACATGGCACAAGGCAGAGATACCCTCCATGAGATATTAGCATTATTGGCCCATAAGATGCATCATAGCAACGTACCTATTCTGCTGCTGGTTCTACAGTCAGCTAGTACAGCGAATCTCTGCACTGTCTTTTAAGACACAATATGGATAGCCTAGAGACTTCAGCAACAGTAAAAGATTTAAGAATACACAGAATAGCTTGTCTAAAATGAACATCTTTTGCAGATAACCAAGATACAAGCTTCCACTGAATCCAGTAACATTTTCTAATTTACTGCTTTTAGAATTGATCAAAACCTTTTACATCTCTAAAGTAGATTTTTCAGTGTCTATTAAAGTCTTAGAGCCCAGATAGCCAGGTGTGAAGAAAGAGAATCCTAGGTAATGTAATTTATTCTTCTTTCTACTGAAACAGTAAGTCTAGCAGCATGAGCAGAAATCTGGAATTCCCTTTGGAAAGGTTAATTAAATCCATGTACCACTGGTATTTTGGCCATACAGCTGGTAAGAATTTAGGAACTCATGCCCTGAAAATGGTTGATCTGCAGTGAGCACGACATATTACTAAAACTTACAGGTAGTTTATGATTAAATCCTTTCACTCGAATGATCAAACCATGCTCTCCAGGTACCAGCTTGTATTCCAGTTGAGCCACATCAGCTTCATATGCTGGTTCAGCAAGGTTATGAGAGAAGATGTTTACAAATATATCAAAAAGCACCACACTGCATGAATTAAGAAGCAAAGTAAGGATAGGAAACACCAGAGAAGAAACTGTTAGATAGGAATTAATTATTTCATGGGATAGCTACACACATCTAAGATTTGGAGTTTAGAACCCATTAAAAAACAATGCATATTGCATACAGAAGTTTCTCCGGGGCAAAATAAAATCCCAAAATATATAGCTGTGAATTCCTTTTTAATTCTAAGGACAGGTGGGATTACCAAGGAGGGTTTTTTGGCATTAATTTAATTTTTTTGTGCATCAGATGAGAAAAGGAGAACCCATGCAAATTACAAAGTTTACCAGACTAAGTTAAGAAATCAACCCCATATCTGCAGCATATGTTGGTTAAACTATAACTGGAATAAAGAATGCATTTTTAAACAACATGTCAGTTCTTGGTAAAATGTGTTTGTTAAATACTGATGTGTTAATAAAGCAAACAATGCGTTAACATTAGTTATGTAAAGGTACTTAATTGCTTTATTTGAAGTCGAAAGTTGCTAAATGGAAGAGTTAATAGATATGAAGATCTCTTGAGACTTTAAGGCTGCTTCTATTGCATTTAAAAACTGTAAAAAGCCATAGAGAATTACAACCAAATGCTTTGATTAAAAATTCAAAACCAAAACTTTCCCCAGTAGACCTGATGAAGAAAAGATTTGCAAAGATATACCAAAAATGCTCCCCAGGAAGCTCTTCTGTGGTCTTTCGATAAAGTCACTAAACAGTTTGAAAGTCCTGGCCAAAACTAGTAGGACTACTGCATATATGAAATGATGCAATATGTTTATTAGTCAAGCTGCTAGCATAAGTCTGGGTAATACACACATGACTTAATGCTGCTCTGTCTCTGTCTCTTCCACATATACACATTTTTTTTCTCAACTTACTGGCTATCTGGTCCCTACAGTAGACTGCCCCTGGCAAGAGTCCTCATATGAGTGGACTGGTAGACGCACTATACTGTTATCATTAGACTGTCATTTTCCACAACCTTGATCTTGATAAGCTGCACTAGAAGGTGTATACATTCTTCCTTTCTCCTACAATACGCTTTGCACCAAAGGTGGGCAACCCATGGCATGCATGGCAGGGAGCAGGGAGAACAGCAGCAAATAGGGCAGGAAGCAGAAAAAAGCAGCAGCAGATAAAGGAAGAGGACTGAGCACTTGAGGAGAGTGAAAGCCGTAATTTATGGCATGCCTACCAAAAAGCTTGGTTCCCACTGCCTTACACCTTAGCCCCTCCAAAACCAGCAGCTATAGAACTTAAAAGTAGGGAATAAAGGAGTGCAGTTGGTATGTTCTATCCTCAGATTCTTTCCCCTCAGATGAAGATTTTATCTTTCATTTTAACCTGATGGGAATATTAACTGCTAGTACTATACCAAAACCACAGTTGTATCTTGTTCTGCAAAACACATTGGAAAAAAAGGCTTACCTCTTTGAACACTGTTGTATCAGTGGAGAGATCAGATGGAAACGTACATAAGCTGAAAAAAGAAAACTACAATAGCAGTTTTAAACATTCAACTATGTTTGCTCCGGCCCAACATTTATTTTCTCTGAAACACACACAAATGTTTTTTTCAGCACTGGCTACATGTTTTTATTTGTACTCAATAATAAAATATTTTTTCTTCCTTCCTGCATTCATCTAATATAATCTTTTAACTGTCAATTTGGAGAAGAGTACAGAGTTGTACTTGTTTTGTATCTGGAGTCTTAAAGGGCAAACTGCCTTTGGTGACAGCAGTTGTAATGGTCATCTGCAAACTTATTCAGTTTGTAAATTGCTCAAGGCAGGCATGACATGTCTCTGTGTGTGCAGTTTACTTGTGTACATATATTAATCTGACCCTTTATTTCTAAAACAATCAAAAGGTAATGTACAACCACAGTTTCTAGCATATAAAACCAAATGTAAAAGCTTCTCAGGGAACATTAAAATGTCATCCTGTTCAAAAGCATAACTCAGTAATGGAGATACAGTTTTCATGTATACTGGGTTGCAATGATTCCAGATTATGTTCTTCAGTTCACAGGAAAAAAGGTAAGTTTAAGGGTTTTTTTGGAAAACCGCTAGGCCTGCAAGTCACAGTTGTATTTTGCAAGATACAACTATAGGCCTACAACTGTAGGCCTACAAAATATGAATGGGTGTTACCTTCAGGGATTTCCAACTCTTGACACTATGATCATTAACATTTTTTAATTCAAAATTCTACTTTCAGTTACACCTTCAGTAGAAATTAACATTTATCAAGCAATTATTAAATGGTGGTATTGGAGATATTGCAGTACGCTTCTGTATTAATGGAAAATACTTGTAACCTCAGATATAGTGCTGCTGAATGTTGTGATGGTGATGATCACGGTATATGTATTTTATTATGAACAATCTACATTTCTATAGCATTTCCCATTCAACATTTTCAAAAGTCTTCATGATCATTTAACCTGATGACAAATGCCTTGCATTCAAAAGCTTGTTTAATTTCATCTCAACCATGCAGTTGGTCACAAAAATCCTTGCTTCTTTACAAACATCTATTATTTACAACTTTCAGCAGTCCTGGAAGGAAGATAAGTATTGTGTACATTGTATATATAGTGAAATGAGACCTGAAGAAATTAGATGATTTACTAATGGCAACAAAAATCCATGACAGCATCAACACCAGCACTCATAGGAAAGTAGGAAGGGACCTCACAAAGTCATCTAGCCCAGACCCTGCTCAAGGCAGGATTTTCCCTGACTAAACCATGCCAGCCAAGTGTGTGTCCAACCTGCTCTTGAAAATTTCCAAGGATGGAGAGTCCACAACTTATCTAGGTAGCTTGTCCCAATGCTTGACCAGAAAGTTCAGAAAGTTCTCTCTCATCTCCAACCTAAATTTCTGGTGCTGAGGCTTGAGGGCCATTGTTCCTAGTCCTGACCCAAACAGCCACAGAGAAAAAGCCCATCTCTGCTCAGATCCCTGGATGTTTACAACACCCATTCAGTCATAATATTTCCCTGAGCTTTCAAGGGTTCTTCAAGCAGGCCTCCAGTATCAGCCTTTAGAGCTTTTTATCTCTGCCCAACATAAAAAAAAAAATCCTTTCAAAGGCTTAATGCCTATGAATCACCCCACTGGTTGTCATGCATACTTCCACAGGAAGTCCCAAAACTCCACAAGATGATGTTCTAGTTACTAAAACTGCTGTACCAGGTATCTCTCCAGAAACAACTCAAAAGCTGGAGGAACACAAGAGTACTGCTGAGAATGTGCCTGCCCGGAACAGGGCCAGCGTTTGTACTTTTATATAGGGACAGTTGTTTAAAACTGAGAGAGTGAAGGGTGTCTCTCAAGTCTGTGAAGTGTGCTCAATCTTGGAGCTAAAGAGCTATGCTCCTTTGAAAGGGAAATCTTCCATGGTATTCTGGCACCTTCCTCTGACATCCAAATCCTGAAAGCCAAAAAAGGGTGCCTTATTTGGTTTAAAGAAACAGTTAATGAGTGCTACTGTGGCAGCACAGTAGGGGGCACTACTATGCAGAGCCACCCACCTCACTGTGCCAGACCCAAAAACCTTGCTCCAGGAGTCTCCCATGGGGTGCCTACAGCCAGCTGTCCTGCTTCCTGGAGAACACCCGCAAGTCTGGGGTAACACTGCCACCACCCAGTCACTGGCCTCAGTTAGGGTCCAGTGCAGCCTAGGGTACACAGACCCTGGGAACCTTGGGGTTGCTTCACCCACACGTAATATTTCTAGGTGCCTCTTACAGCCCAAAGCATCCCAATATGAACTCAGATAGGACTGAGAGAACTTAAACAGACAAGCTCTGCTGGCCGGGCTAAGAGAGAAAAGGCTTGCCTCTCCCTCTTTCACAGACACACAACCAGTCATGCTGTAACCTGTCAGAGCTGATTTGGATCAGTCCCTCGACACAGTGGAACTTTCCAGCACAAGGCACGGTAAGGCAGGGGAAGTCTCAGCATGGTGAAGAGTTCCGGCGTGGACAGAGTTCCCGCTGAGGAAATGCAGATTTGCATAACACGATTGGCCAATGTTAAATTATTCCCACGTGGCGGCTGGCAATTGGCTCGCTAGCCGTATAAAAGGTTAGGGGCGTTTCCGCCCTAGTTGGAGAACTCCGCGATTCCCCCTGGAGTGGAACTCCGGCAGTTTGATCACCTGCCAACGACTCCCCGTCGACGAAGCCTTGCGACGTATCCTCCATGTTGCATGCCCGAGTTAGACCTGAGCTACCCGGTCTACAAGAGCTCCTCGATTAGCGACTAGAGATTAGAATTGTTGCAACTACGATTGCCTGTGCTGTATACGACTACAGTGTAAGTAAAGCCATCTCTGTTTTTCCAATTGATACGTGTCTCGTCTGTGCCTAATTCCGCTCCGGTGATACAGAGTACCCATCTGCCCGTCACAGGATCGCAGCCGCAACCCCAGCTAGTGTTCCCGAGGGCTCCTGATCCTCGATTCCCCCTCGGCCCCCACATAACCCAATACCTTTATTGATCAGAGAGGGAAAGCAGGGGGGCAGGGTAGGACAAGGAAGTCAGAATACACTTTGAGCAAACAAAAATAAGCTGAGCTTTTACAGATATTGTGTATGGTGACTCTTCTAAGATGCAACTGCCTATACTTAGTTCTACACTTCTGGCTTATTTCCAGGTCTTTACTTACAGAGAATCATCCAGGCAACACCTGGAGGCATGATACTTGTGGCTTTTCAAGATGACCCCCCGAGGAAGAGAGAGTTCCCCCTTCCCCTCAGGAATTTATTTGGCCAGGTCAAACCAAAAAGACCAGCCTGAACCAAAAAGAAAGTGAGAGAGAGAGAGGGGTCCACCTGGAATGACCCAAGTGAGAGGCAGAGAGACAAGGATTTCTTCACAGTTACCTTTAGGGATTTTGAATTTGTTGTCCTTCTTGTACCACAAACAGCCTAGCTGTGTATTCAGAATTTTAACTGGATGCTGCGTCTCAGAGCAATCAGGTGCCTTCAGAGTAAAGTCACTGGCTAGTGCAGACACGAAAACATGTGGGTTACCATACTTCAAATTCACATAGGCATAGGCAAAAGAATGCTACTTTCAAAACTGTAAGCAGATGATTCTCCTCTATCTTGGTATACCTGGGATCACATAGCCCTCTAGATCCAGCACTCATGAATTTAGGTCCCCTGCCAGTATTCTGGTTCATATTCAGTGCCAACCCCAGAATAAAGATAGGTTATTATACCCCATTCAAGAGAAGTTGCTCTTGATTTTTGATTTTGCTGACCCATTCAGGAGCCTTTTTAACATTGTGTATTATTTTTTCCGAAACAGCAGGAACAACCAAACAACACTGCCCCCTTGGTAAGCAAAGCTCCAGTGTTCTTAACTGTATTAAGCTTATCCTGAAGGCTGTTCTGTTTAGGAAAGTGATCATTGCTCTAAGGCAGGTGTGGGCAAATTACAGCCTTCAGGCTGGTTCTGGCCCATGGGCAGGCACCGGCCAAGTGAATGGATCTGGCCAACGGGTGGGCAGCAGCCGCATGGTGCCAAGTGGCTGTGGCTGTTTCCCCCATGCTGGGCACTCTCCCCACCTCTGTCTGGGCTGCCACAAGTGCAGAGGCTAAAACATGAACCTGCCTGCAGCTGCAGCACATCCTGCCCCCGCCCCCACCCTGACTCCAGACCTAGCAACTGCTGGCTGCATCTACAGCTGCCCAAATGCAGCCAGCAGCTTCCAGGTCAGGGCTCTGGGCACAGACAGGGGCCAGATGTTGGGGTGTGCTACATCTGTGGGTGGGTTCAGACTTCCACACTGGTTGCAGGCCACAGCTCTAGCACGCCTTGTGCCCATTCCATTCGTCCCCTCTCCCCACCCCACATGCCTGGAGTCCCAATCCGGAAGCTGCTGGGGGTATTTGGGAAGCTGTGGACGTGGCCAACAGCTGCCAGGTCTGGACTCAGGTTGGGGCAGAGCGGGTGCACTAAAGCTGTGGGCAGGACTCCAGCTGCTGGTGGGGTGTGAAGCATGCCTAAGCTGTGGGTGGGTTCAGGCTTCCACACTGATTGCAGACCCAGGAGAGAGGGATGGAGGGACAGGGAGAGAAAGCAAGAGGGCGAGAGGGAGATGTGGCCCTCAACAGGTCACTAAAACTCATTAAGTGGCCTGCTAGGCCAAATAATTGTTCATCCCTGCTCTAAGGTTATCTTAAAGAGGTTATGTCAAGCCAAACTTGGCAAAAATCTAAACTAAGTCAGCTTTAAGAAAACGTAAGAGAAACACATGCCTCCATATTTCTCTTTTATTTCAAAAACATAGTTTAAAATCAGCCATTCATCTAAAGAAAACAAAGATCTTTTTCAGGCATCAAACTAAACAGATCGAAGAAGGGAAATGTGACAGGAGCCAGTCAGACACTGATGTCTTACTCACCTATATATTTATTTTCTTCTGGAAGGTGCAAGTCCTGATTTAACTCAAAGTCACTAGCCCATAGATCACTCCAGTATTTGTCAATATCTGTGAAAAACATTAAATTAATATATTCCCAACTGTCAGGCTTAGTAGCAGAGCAACTGCTACATCAATATCTGGCTGCTGACTCCTAGAATAATAATATTTTCTTTTAGCTGTTTCTGTCTTCATCCCCATTTGCCAAATGAATCAAGCTCAGCTCTTATTATGTCCTTTTTAAAACTCGCTACAAGCAAGATTTGAAATTAAAATCAGGTTTAAAAGTAAATCAAGACAGCATGCATTAGCATCCCAAGTTCCCACAACTTTCAAGTTGTCATAACCTTCCTTTATCTGGGTTTTCTTCTCCATTTACTGTTCATTTGTGGTGAGGTTTCAGTATGATTCTTCTTTCCTCTACAGCCAAAAGGCTTTGCTCTTCAAAGCAGGAGGACAGACTCAGCTAGACTACATACACAGCAGAGCTGGTACAGAATAACACAAGGCACCCAAATTGCTCCTGACTTATAATGAAGTCAGGAATAAAGCTAAGACTTCTTCATGGACTGCAATTATGTCCATGAGACGATTATGATCAATTAGCTCAACTTCTACCCCTGTCCCAATTCCTGCATTGTTACATACCACACAGCCACCTTTTTAATAGCTTCATGAGCACGCTTAATGACCTTTACTACTCCAAGGGGCCATTTTACCTTCAACGCTGTACTGTGTGTCAAACCACCTCTCCTTTAGATGGCATTTTTCCTCATGGGCAGCAGACAACAGAAAAAGGTTGGCTCTCAGAGGGCAGAGCTGGTTAAGGGCATCAGCAATGATCTTTAAAAATAGATGTGAGAAGTAAGGGTTTTTGTTGGTGATATCATATCTTAGTTGGACCAACTGTATAGTTGAGAGAGATGTTAAACAAGTTTTGGGGCACACCGTACCCTTCTTCTCACAGAGCATGGACAGGTGTCAGTAAACGTGCTGCAGCCACAGGACTTTCTGGGGAGCTACACCCCTGCAAGGGGCAGCAGTCCATCAGTGACAGTCTTGCAGCCTTGGGAGACTCAAGTAGTCTTCCTACAGAGGCAGCAGGCTATCAAGGAGCACACTGCAGTCCCTAAAGTCTCCAGGGGGTTGCAAGTCTCTTCCCTGTCCCATAGAGGGAGGACATATGGGCTATCAGGAAGTATGCTACAAGTCTGGGAGTCTCCAGGGGGCTGTGTGCCTCTGCTCTCCATGCCCTCATGGGGAGTAGCAGACTGTCCGGTGGCAAGCTATAGCCCTGGCAGTCTCTGAGGAACTAGAGCGCTGTCCCACCCCAGGCAGGGATCAGATGTGCTATTAGGGAGTACCCTGATGACCCAGGAGCCTCTATAAGAGTGAAGCTCTGCTCCCCACACCCTAGTGACAGAAGCAAGCTGTCACTGACCATGCTGCATCCCAAAGTCTCAAGAGGCTGCAGCTCTGCTCCTCCACACCTAATGAAAGGAACAAGTCTTGCCAATGAGCCCTCCGCACTCGCTGAAATCTCAAGGGGTCTGCAGTTCTGCTTCCTGGCCTGCTACAGGGGATATATGGACTATAAGGGAATGTGCTGTGGCCCTGGGAGTCTCTATGGGGCTGCAGATCTATTCTATGCACCCCCCTGCACAAGGGGATGCAGACTGAATGGGTTTGCGGCAGCTCCAGAAACCTGTGGGGGAACATCAGCTCTACTTTCTGCCCTGTCATGAGGGGCAGCAGGCCATCAGTGAGAGCACTGCAGCTCCAGAAGTCTCCATGGGTGTCAACTCTGCTCCATGACCCACTGCAGAGGGCACTGGGTTTTCAGGAAGAGCATTACTGCCCCACGAGTTTGGGAAGAGTTGAAGCTCTGCTCCCTACATACACCCTATCCCCATAGGGGACAGTTGGGGTTAGTGAGCATGAAACAGTTCCAGGAGCCCCTGGGGTGCTGCATCTCTCCTTGCCCTCCACCTACAGTGGGCAGCAGGCTGTTGGTTACCATAATGCAACCCAGAATGTTTCCACTAGACTGCAGCTCTGATCCACTGACCCTGGGCACGAAGGCAAGATAGATGGGCTATGAGGGAGTGCTCCAGCCCTGGAAGTCTCCAATATGTTGCAGTGAGGTTCCCCACTCCCCACTGGTGGACAGCAGGCTTTCAGTAAGCACACCCCCCCACCTCTTCCCACAACTTTTTCATCTCAAGCACACACTTCAGTATGAGGCTACTTACTTCAGGTTTATAGTCCAAGAGAAGGTTATTTCCTATCAAAAAGTCCTCCTTATGAAAGTGCTGCATATTTTCACAAAGACTTTCAACAAAATCAACTGTATCAGTCTGTAAAAGGAGTAAAGCTGCATTTCATTCTTCAGATGACTAAAAGCGTTTGTGGGCTACATCACTGAGGTTTGGTTTTGGCTACTGAACCTAAATGTAGTTCTTAAGAAAATCCTTACTGGTGGATCTCAAACGCGCTCCCTTCTCTCCAGCCCTGCCACACTACAAGGAGCATCCTATCCCTAAAATGAAAATCTGAAGCAAATGTCCAAGGAAAACATCCTTTCTGCCCAACTAGTTGGGGCTGGCTGCAAAGAAATGAGAAGAGCCGATACTTCCAAACAAAGAAAATAACCAGTTTATCCTGACTAACATTATGGTTTTATCCACATCAAGCTAAAAGGCTCCTAATTGAACTACATGAACTACAAGGCAAACACCATGCTGGGGTGCAGTGAGCCACATATGAGGCTGACTATCCCTCTATCTAGGGCCATGTGTAGACGAAACGAGAGGCGCTTGTGCATGACACTTTAAACCGGGCTAAATGCTTTTGCAGCACTTTAATGGTGTCAGTGTTTGCTCACCCTGGCAGTGTATTGCGTATTAATTCTAGCCGCGGTAGGAAATTCGGCAGCGTAATGTGCCTTAAATGATTTGGGGCGCAGCAAACTAAAACTCCTTTGAGGAGTTTTAGCGTGTTGCCCCTACATTCGCAGAACGAAGAACTGGGCTCCATGCAGCTCCACAGCTCTACAGGAAGCCCTGCAGACAGCCTGGCAGCAGCCTGGGAAAGCAGGCTCTACCCAAAAAAAGCGTCAAACCTGATCTTTTTTATTTCCCCCCCGTCCCCCCTCGGAGCCTGCCTGCCTCAGCTGTGCAGGGGCCCAGTGCTTCCCTCTGTGGCTGCGGTGCCACCCGGGACAACCAGAACTGGGTGCCTGTGGGCGGGTGCTGCCGGGGGGGTGCTGCTGCTGCCATGGAGGAAAGCACCAGCCCTCCCCCTCGCAGCCCAGGGACTGCTCCACCCGCCAGCAGCTCGCCCTTCCCTCCCCACTGGAGAGGCAGGTAAGTCAGCAGGAGGCAGGTGTGCATGACATGGGGATTTAATCAGCCCTAAATTAAAGTGGTGTTTTTTAAAACCCACTTCTTCAATTTAGGGCCCCCATTTTGTCCCCACACACCCTAGAATTCTGTAATAGTCACACTAATCACCATTATTATTTATACAGCACCATGACTATTCACAGCACTTAACTGGTGAATGAAAAAAGGTTCCTAACAAAAGGATGTCACAATCTAAATTGGATGATAAGGAAGGATGACCTTAAGGAGGGACAAGAAAACATGAGGAAAGAATAAAAGAACTTCCAAAAGCATGACATGCAAAAAATTCAAATTATAGTTTGGTGTTATTAAGGGTCAACTTCAAGTGATATAAAGGCTAACATTTTTCTATGTTGAATAAAAATACATACTGTTTAACAAATGCTTATTTTCTCATCTATGTTAGAATATTTTCAGAGTCAGGGAATTTGAGCCATGCAAGTTCCACACTTCACTGTGAAGATCCCATTTAGAGTTAAAAAAAATACAAATTTAATGCCTATACCTACAAAAAACACTTGAAGGAGAACTCAGTACCTGATCCTGGAAACGAAATTCGTTATCTTCAATCTTCTGAATCTCTTCCCAAATTCTACAAGTGGAAAAATGTAACCATTACCCTGCTATATGTATTAAGAGACTAATCATATACCAATTCTGGCAGAATATTAGGGTGCATACTTGAGTCAGCGTTTCTTCAGTATCATTATTGCATTTATGGGGTCAGGATATTATGGGATACTATAGATACACATATGCAAACTTTTTGCCTGGGAATTTCAGAATATGTAGTAATTGTGAAGCAATTGTCATTAGTTCTACAATTTTTTCCCCCTTATTTCAGCTGGAAAACTACAATACAACTAGGCAATGGCACACAAGTAAGCAGATGAGTCAGGGACCAAGACCTCTTGATTCCCAGTTCCATGTTCTAACCACAGCACAGCATTCAGAAACGTTTCACCTCGCTACTGGGAAAACTGTAGTGTACAGAGGGGATGGAGGTAGACTAGCAATTCTCTTGGACCTGAAGTTGTCCAATTCTTTGATTTTTGTCTCCCACTAACAGCTGCCTATATAGGGCAGTTTGATCTGTTATGGTGGAACAGCTGAAACCACATAGATAACTTTCATCTTCTCCTCACATGGACACACTTATTCCAGAAAAAGAATTCCCTTTTCAATTTAGTTTAAATCCCTTCAAAAGAACAAAAGGTAAACCAAAAATAGCCACTTTTATTCTGAAATAAGAATGCACACAGGGAGTTTTACTAGTAACTATATAGGCTTAGATTCGTGCCTTAGCTTTTAACCAATATATCTTTTTCATACAGAGAAGCCCAAGGAATGTTACTTAGCATTTAGCTTAGGAAATTTAAATGAACTTAAGTGGCAGTTTATCAGACTGTGTTCTTTCTTATCCCTTTGTCTACTTTTTTTGCAGTGTGATAACTGTTGTCATGGCTCACATCACTAGATTCAAAAGTTACCTTTTATCTGGGCCTCTTTTCTGAAGCATTTTCAGATACTGAAATATAACATGTGCAATCTGCAGACAGAAAAACAAGCCAATGAGTTTCTTTTGACATTCGGACATACAAAAATAATCAGATTTCCGAGATGCAAAAAATTTACCTCATAGAAATATTCATAACCTTCTTCAGTCAAAGTAACAGAAATGTTGAATATAGAGCAGGTGGAGTTCTGTTCAAATCCTGTCTCACTATTTCCTCCATGTAATGTAAGAGCCCAAAACCTAATGAAAAATGAAAAATGTTTAAATTATTATTTATTTATTCCAGTAAAAAGGTTAGGAAGTCTAATTATAATTAGAGTATCATTGTTTAAGCTTATTTTTACCAGATTAGTAAAAAGCTGCTTTAAGGACTTTAAAAGATTAGACATATCAGACTGCAAGATGACACTTTTTCTACTAGTTCACAAAGTTCCATGTAATTAAAAAAAGCCAGGTTATACAGTTTCTTGGATTATTTTAATTAAGAATCAATATATTTTCAAAAAAATAATACACATTTCCAGCAAAAGTGCTGCAAATGTTGTTCTAGAGCTTTGTTTGTACTTGGGATTCTTTTATTTAGTAGTGGCTATACTAAAGTGTTCATTTGCAGAGTATTTCTTATTGCTTAAATCATATCAATGCTACCAACTTCAAAATGTACATACGTTTTTGGATCATTTTTCAGTTACCTAAATAAGTGAAAATATCCCCCTTTCATTCTTTACAAATACAGAAAATACATACTTTTTCCTAAGGAAGGAAAGAATACTGCCTTTGCCTTCATGTCCTACCAGCCAAGATATATAGTGAAGTGGCTTCACCCTAAAAAAAAATTCAAAACTCTGCTGCAAAGTGCAAAAATATGAACAACAGCACAAAAGCACACAGCAGCAGCACAATTCATCTAAAGATGGCTCATATGTGCCCAGCACAAGACCCTAGAAATAATATTTTTGTTGATGGCCCATGCAACAAAGAGCAGTAAGTTACTATGCCTATTATTTCTAGAACTGTAAACTATTTACTGCTGCTATTCCACAATATCAAAGAACACAACATATTTTTATTTCTGGAATATTTTAATATTAATTCCTTCTCACTGCATTTAAAAAGAGTGTAGGCTTTGGTTATTTCTTAAATTCCGTAGATAACTGACTAATCTACTGCACAGTAAAGCATCACCATCTACATGTGTACAGTAAATTAGTCTATTGCACAATTGGTTACTACCTGTAGATACAGGTAGTAGATTTACCGCACAGTAGCTACTGCACAGTAACACATGTAGATAGCCCAGGCAGCAGGGGGCTGGGACACTATTCTGATCGGCTGGGAAACAGGCAGCTGCCCAGGGCAGGGGACAGTGTCTCAGTCCCCGCTCCAATCTACCAATCAGGGTTCGGGGCTGGGAGGCAGGCAGCTGCCTGGGGCAGGGGATTGTTGCCCAGCCCCCACCCCTGCTGATTTGGGCACAGGGCTGGGAAGCAGCTACCCTGGAGGCGGGGCAGCTCTCCCCACTCCCCGGAGCCCAGGCCTGATCCCAGTGCTCCCTGCCAGCCTGGGGCTGGCATCTGGGGGAGCCTGGAGCTCCCCCTGGCTGCTGTAGGGGGGCAAAGCAGGACAGGAGTAGCCCTGCACTGAAATGATCCCATCCAGAGCAAATCTGCTCCAGACAGGAGCATGTGTAGATGTGCTTCCAGGGAAAGCTTACTGTGACTTATTTTACTGCACAGTAAACTTAAAGTGCATTAATAGCATGTGCAGACATGCCTGCTGAGTATGAAATCAAAAGATATGAACTGTCTCCCTACCTGTAATGTCTCTGCTGAGGAGGCAGTGCCCACGCAATGTCCAAAGAATGAACTTTTCTGACTGGAACAACTGAACAAGAAGAAACATATTAACTGCAAATGCAAAAGAATTCTTCTCTTTTTAAACCTAACAACCAGGCAGGTAGAAAAGAGATCTTGCTTGAGGCAGAATGTGAGAGAGAGGGCAGAGGGACTATACAACATTCAACAATGGTAAAATCGACCATTCTAAAACTATAAGAAATAAGAATCTATACAGGTATCTTTAATACCTTCCAAATGCACACTTCACCACCATTCTGCAACTGCTAAGAGGGTAAATTAAAGTTAAATTAAATGCAGAAAAATTAACAATATGTAAATAGGAATACAGCTCACTCACCTCTATAAAGCTTGTGAAATTCTGGTGTGTCAAAAGGCTGTGTCAGATGGCCAAAGCCTGGTTTGGGCAAACCACTTCAAAAAAAAAAATAGCATAATTTTTACTGCTCAGAGTCCAGGGCGCCACAGGAACAAATACAAGCTGCTCAATGCCCTCAGTTCTCAAGCAACAGAAAATCTGAGCCCCTCCAGGGACCCAGGCTCTCTCCTCCCTTGATACGACCTATTCACTATTCTCCAGTGCATCAGAAACGAACACCCTGAACACATCAACTACCTTTCCCTTCCCAAAATGACAAGGCATAGGAGTTGAGAAAGTGACTCTTGTACTCTGCTACTTGGCAAGGCCTGAGTGAAATGGTTTTAGAGATTTGTACCAGCTTTATGTGCACAGCAATGGGTCAGTAGAATAAAATGTCTGACTGATTTCTTCCCAAGAAGAGAATAAAATGGTTGTGCTTGAAGGACACCGGGGTAGCCCTGGACTAAACCAACAAATTATAGCAGAAACTAAAATGGAATAACATACTAAAAAGGGGGACAAGGAAGCATATGGCAATTTGCTTTTAAATAAATACAAAACGAATTTACGAGCAAGTTGAAGCCATTATGCTGTTACAAGAAGATATAATACTCAACTGGGCTATGATTTCTTAACCTGCTGCTGACATAAAAGTAGGATAAGGAAGACTGAGTTTGCACTACAATACCTGGGCTCTTCACGGTTTGGTAATTCTAAACCTTTGTACTACCAACCAGTTCGGGCACTACCACATTCTATTACTAAACAGATAACACAGCTTCATATAGCAATATGGCACGCTGTGTTCTGGAAAGGATGGTGGAACAGAGGATAATACAAACTTGGCTGTAAAACCAATCTACAGGGGAAGTAGAAACTAAAAATTAAGTTAAGAACAAATAAAACCAATTTAAAGGTCTTCATTTCTCTCTCTCTCTCTCTCTCTCTCTCATCCACACAGATTTGAGGGCTCAGCAGACTGGGAAAGCACCCTTAGAATTTTCTCCTCTTGCATTTTTATCACAGACATCAATGTAGCACACTTCTGCTATCTTTAAATAACCATAATCTTATGCTCAGGGGTGAACAATTTCAATATGCAATTTCAGGAAATGCTGCGTCAGTCACATATTGGCTAAACTGCTATAAAACTCACAAGAGAAGCTCACAGCAAAATAGTAGATATCTGAGACAGGGAAACAGGCATTTTTTGGTCACTAGCTTGTAGTTTTTGAATAATTATGTTCTGAACGAAGAGTAACAAAGAATGTAATACTTATGAAATACAAAATAAAACTGAGTTGAGTTTTTAGTTGAGTCTAAAACTGAGTTTGAGTTTTAGTTGAGACTCAAAACTGAGTTAAGTCAATTTTAGAAAGCAGACAACATAACTTTATTATGTTAGTTTGAAAACCCTATTGGACCCATAGAAAAATGGCTAATATTCACCATAAATCACTGGTTCACTGGTACTTCACTACTAATTATGTTTATATAAAGCAAAGACCTAAAATTTAGCATTTTTCAAAAGCAGAATATAATTCTCCCAACAACTGAGGTGTCAGTATAGAGGTAGCAGACATCAATCAGTATCTAGCATCAGAGCTGATACCAAAAGGCAGCTGAACTGTTATCCAATACATTATTTGCAAAGAAAATTTTAACCCTCAAAGCCAAGTATGATCCCTGTTTAGTCATCAAAGACAATTCAGGTGACAATAATGTAGTCAGGAACAATAATAATTGTACAGAAATTTTCAAATTTGAACAATAATTTCAAAACTTCCAGATAACAAAGAAAATCAGAAAAAAAATCTCACTTATTTGGAATCTTTGAAAAGATTTCCATCACCCACTTCTCCAGTGTGTCCAAGGTTTCTGGTAAGGAGAAAAAAAACTGGAAATATAATTTACTAAAGGATGTAGGGGTAAGCTTTCACAAAGATAAAGATAGATTGCAAATGTTGGTCATTAGTCCAAGTTACTGTGGTCTCTAATGCAGTTCTGAACTAGTGTAGCACACTACAGAATGTCAAAAGGGGTTGCATTTTCCCTTCTTCCTTATAAAGAAAGAAACACACTACATAATTATTTAGTTACACAGTTTATGAACTTGAGAAAACGTCAGTGCCAAAATTTTACATGCCACCTGGTACATTAGTGATCCCTATGTGATAACTAAAATGATGACAGAAATCAAGCAGAAAGGCAGACAGGCACACTATTTTTAATAGAGATGGTCCCAGGGTTACTAGGTTGACAGTTCTATGGTTTACAGGTTCCCACGTATTTCTCCCAGTGGGCAACAGAAGCAGAACTACTACCACAAAATCATGCATTTTGCAATCACTTCCCAAGCCCTACGTACCCAAATACAATATGCATTATTGTTATTATGGTATTGCCAAGAGGCTCCCAACCAAAATTTGGTGACCGTTGTGCTAAGCATTACATGTATGACCTTTCATTATATGCAATCCTCTAACAATATTAAAAAAGGCAATGCAATCACGAATATCCATTCAAAGAAGAGAGCTCCTATGTAATAAGGTCTGATACAAGGTACCCACCCAGTAAATTATTTGGAATGTAATATACAGCATTCAAAAGAGCTAAATTTCCCAGCTGTGTGGTTGCCAGACGTGACGTGCAGACTAAGGAATGTAAATAAAAGGAGCTAAATACTGCCATTTCTAAATAAATTTAAAAAGCCATACAAATAACTCTAGTAGAGTCATTATCATCTAATCAATAAGTTCTGAACTGGAACAGAAACAGATCATACTTTAAAGGCAGTATACATATTCTAGATGCAAACAATAACTGATATTACCTTTAGATTGAACTACTAAATTCATATAGTGTGCAGAGTAATAGAGATGCCAAAAGTCCTTCAGCCTGGTGTAGATATCAATACTCCTATTTTTAGGCTCATGCTTTAGGGTCTCTGCATTACCTGTGAATGTTAAAGTGGCTTGTTATCTGGCTTCATATTACCACGGCATTTCTGATCACAGAGCCTAATTTTCAATTCCCTGTGTACCAGAAGTTTACTACGCCCAGTACGAGTTTTTGTTGTGCAGGTAATGCAGGATGAAACTTAAAATGTTTAAATCATAAATACATGGGGGTAAACAGAAAGATATAAAACATATACATATGAAAAATGTTTTAACTACTTCTAAGGTTGAGGTGAAATGCGTCAACACAACTTCTGGAAAATCCAGAGTTAAAGAAATGACAATTTAAGAATAATATTTTTGTACAAAATCTTCTAGTTACCATTTTTACAAACAGCCTTTAAAAATATACCGAATCATAGAATCAAAGGACCAGAAGGGACCTGCAAGATCATCAAGTCCGGTCCCCTGCCATGGGCAATAAGTTATTGGGCTCAAACGACCCCAACAGGGTGCTTATCCAGCCTCATCTTGAATACCTCCAAGGATGGCGACTGCACCACCTCTGCTGGGAGTGTGTTCCAGATTCTGGTATCTCTTATGGAAAAAAAGTTTTTTCTTAAGTCCAGCCTAAATTTTCCCTCTGTCAGCTTGTGACCATTGGTCCTCTGAAGAACAGAGAAAAATGTCTTTCCCAAAGTATTTATTTTTCAAGTTGGACAACACTTTGCATATGCTAAGTTTGACTCTTAACCCTGTTTGTGTTGGATTTTCATAACACTAGAGGAGAAAAAATACGATAAAGATAGGAAAAAATGAACGTAGAATAGAAAACATCATCAGAAAAGATTCAGGAGTGGGTATAGTAACTGACCCTGCATGTTCTTTTTTAATTTCGTGTTGACGAAATATACAACTGGTTTTATTTGCAATTGATGGAGCAGCACAAAAGGGTTTGGTGCAGAACCGCTGCAATGGGATTATAGGGGGTGGGAAAAGGAGGGTAAATTCTCTTTCCATTTTCCCTCATTTGAAAGGTTATGAAGTGGCAGGGAAGCCTGTCTTCACAGATTACTGATCTAAGGCTGAACCAATTGCCAGACCTTTCTAAACTAAGACCTTGTGAACCTACAAGTTCTTTTTTTATATCCAAGAAGCAAATCCTATTTTTCCAAGATTTATAATAGAAAAGACAAGGGATGATGTGATCCACAGCTGTCCTATAGTACCCTAAATTACCAGTGTACTACATTACCATGAATCCGAGCATGAGGCAGTCTAATGAATAATTAACTAATAGCCAGGTTAGAGTTGAAAATATCCTACATTTATGTCAAAACGTTTATCCCAAAGTATTAAACTATGCTCAAAAAAGAAGAATTGTGTTAATAGATTTCAACAAGTGGCAGTTTGGTGTAATACTGAAGAATTCTCCATGGTTAAAACTTTCTCCATTATTGATAATTTTTGGAGTCCTACAGCAATAAGGCAGAACTTACCCCAGAAAAACTTCCTCATTGGATGCCCAGGTTTGGCCAGGCTTCCGAGCAGCAGCTCCCTCCTGTTTGCATCAGAGGGTTTTGCTAGCTGATACTCTGTTAGATTTAAAGGATTAACACAAACCATTCAGATTTAAGACAATGTCCTAGTGTAACTAACACCAGTGTTCAAAGAGAATTCACAGAGTACATTTGGCAGTACTGGTAGTACTTTTCATCAAGTCATGAAGCAACAGTGAAGTAGTTTATTGCTTGCAGCGATTATGCAAAAAGTATAAAAGAGCAAGGTGGGAACATAAAATAGTCAGGTCATTGCTGAGATGTAGAACATGGGGTAAAAAATGGGGAACGGGGAGAAAAATATGTGGGTCTGATCTTGCAACACTGTAAGGTATCTCAGCTCCCAATAACTATAATTGAAAGTCATAGTTCTCAACCCTTTGCAAAACCACTTGATTATCTTTTAGAATTAGGCGTTTGCATCTGATAACTAAAAGTATGATGTTGCACCAGTCTAATTATTTCAGTGTAACTTGAGTGTGGACATTTCATGTTTTCCTATCACTTAACAATAACAAATTACAAGAATATGAACCGTATTTCAAATTATATGTATCCACACAAAAAACACAAGTATAAAAGTCATTGTTGTTAAAAACTTTTACTCAAATCCACACATTTCAGATTTTATATATCCTGAAGCGTTACAAAAAGTGCAGTGGTCTGTTCTTGCCTTTTTGCAGGTCACTTTCAATCTCATTCTATTTTATTCTTTGTAATAATTTTGTCTTGTTCCAACTGATTAGTGAAATTCCTAAAAGGTGTTTCTCTGAAGAGAGGAAGTTTCTCATTTTCAGCACTGCTTCCCACTCTAATTATTCTCCTTCAAAAACTCACAAACTTAGTCCTCCTATGGGATGTGTGTGGGCCGGGAGCAGTCCGAGGCCCTCAGGGGTGCGCAGCGGGCTGTGGCCAGCAGCCCTGGCACGCGGGTCGGGGAATGCAGGCAGGCGGACTAGAATTAGGCACGGACGCTTAGCGGTTGATTAAAGATTATTTTACTTACACCATAGATGGTCGCGGTGCAGGCAGGAAAGCTTGCTTGAGTTGCAGTTACAGACAGGAAAGAAGAAAAGCGGACAAGAGTTCCTTCCACGCGAACTCTAGCCCAATCCGGTTGAAGGCTCTAAAAACGCGAGCCCGTCGTGTCAACCGAAGAAAACAACTCAGAGAAGAGCTCTGAATACACTCACACAAAGTTTGCTAGGCTCCGTGGAACTTGCGCGCAGGGAAGGGGTTCGTCGAGGGATCGTTCGGCGACAGGGAGAGGCCAGAGGTTGATCAGACCCCTATAGCCTTCTCAAGGTGCACACTGGGTCCAATAGGCTCCGCAGCGCTTAGAGATCTTCACAAGACGTGAAGTTCTCCTCCTCCTGATAGTTGTGGAGTCCTCCAACTTGGGCGGAAACCACTCAAGCCTCTTATACGGCTAGCAAGCCAATCACTAGCCGCCATGTGGGAATAATTTAGAACTGGCCAATAGTGGGACACAAATTTGCATGCGGGTGGCGGGAACTTCTTTGCACCAGGGTTTTCTCTTTGCAACTGAGAAATGCACCCTGCAAAGAAAGCTCCTCGTGGCGGGAAATAATTTAGCAGTGCCGAAGCGCACACAAACAAAATCACACCCTTGGGTTGTGACAGGGTGTTCATATGCTGCTTATAATAGGTATGGTACACTGAAGATGCTTTCATTTATAACACAACTTTACTATCACTCATGTGTGCCTATTTCATGAAGCTCAAGAAACTGATAAAAATCTCATTGATATAAAAATTAATTAGGGACTAAAATTACTTTTGACTTAGTTAAAAAAGAATATATTGAATACCATGCATCAGGCTGCACAGAATAGCTGAATATCTTAACTATGTATTTTCAGTCAAAAACTTCAATACAGGCAATGCTATGGAGTTCAAGAAAAGATTTTAGCTAATGATATTACTCTTACCACTGTCAACTGCTTCAACTTCACGATCAATTGCATCCCAGACCATTAATGGATGAATGAAGAACTGTGCCCACCTAAAACAGTGAGAAGAATAGCTGTTTTTCCTATCACCTGTTAATAAGAGATTTACTATTTTCAACAAAAAAATCTGCTTGCAATAAATAACAATATTCAATATTCTCACAGTTAGGATTTGCAGAAGTATGAAAAAATTATACAACACTGAACTATTTTGCTATTAGGTCTAAAACCCTTAAAGTAATATGAACAGAGCCAATTCTTAAATATTCATGGAAAATCAGGGCTCAAGGCCCTCTACCCTTTGGAGTGGAACTGGACTTTGTAGAAAATGGTACCAAAGGATGAAAGATTATCTACCTTCATCACACGAACTGAATCAGACCAGAGCAGACAACCAGTGATCCATCTACTACAGTGCCATCTCCAACAATGGTCAGTACTAGATGCTTCAGATGAAGGCCTAACAAAAAAATAATTAACAAACAACTGGCTACTAAGGGAAACTTCCTCCTAACCTCAGGCAGTAAATGATTGCCCTATACCTTAAAGCAGGGTTGTTGGACATACAGCCCTCAGAGCTGCTTTATCCAGCCTGCAGGGCTACTGACAGGCTACCAGAAGTTGGTGGTATAGCTAGGGGGCCTGGCCTGGTCTGCTACAGGATCTGGCACACCTGGGAAATAATGGACGTGGCCCTTAGTGGCAGGAGGGCAAGTGAAGACTGATACAGACCCAGCCACTGTATGGCCATTCGGCCCATCATCACCACCACAGCAAGAGGGCACTTGGTCTACACGCTTGCTCTACTTCCTCTACCATCAGCCCCACCACTGCTCCATACCAAAGCCACTGCCACCACTGTGTACCCTGTGCCAGATGCAGCTGGAGCCACCATATACCACAGCCACCCTGTGCCTTGGGCTGGATCCAGCTCCAGCCCATAAGGAGCACCACAGTATGAGGGAAGTTTGACACCTCTGCTTTAAGGCATAAATGGTTACATGCATTAGAATGTTATTAGATAATACTTACATGAATTATGAGTATATCATCTACCAGTACCTTTTCTCTCTCATCCACAGGAATATGGATGATATGAAAGAAGAATGGTATGCAAAGGTTATGCATGCACTGCAGTACTGAGAAATCTGTGTAGATGTGGGGATGGTGGGAAAGAGTGCTGGAACTTAAACATTTTTATATGCAAGTAATTCTGAGAAATGTTAATCTCTGAATTACCAACTGGTCTGTTCTTGTAATATATTTTAAGGAGACCAGAAATGATGCCTGAAGTGCTGAATGACTGCTCCATTATCTCTTTTATTGTGAAATAATTAACAAGCTAAATAAATATATTGTGCCTAATTCTTCTTAAAGTCCTAAACTCTGCATCAAAATCTTGTGGCAGGCCACCAAAATTTTTATAGCAGTTTTTAATTTATTCTCTCAGTTTCATTAGCTGCTCATATTCTTGGATGAAAACAATTAATAGAAGTATCTCTTTACCTTTAAATCACTCAATATTTTATACTGCATCACCATTAATTCTTCTTCTTACTAGCTTTGACTTTTTTAGCCTCTCTTCATATCACAGTCTTGGCCTTATTATTTTAAAATCTTTGTTCCCCATCCCCAGGGCACCTTCAAAATAGCCAGTCTAGTCCCCACTAACAGAGGACTGAATTCTGCCCCAAATATTTGCTCAGAACTCCCATAGAAAAAATAATTCCATAGTATTAGTGTTTTAATGCAAGTTTTGGTTCAACTACCCTATTAGTAGGTAACCATATATCCTCTGGTTTATGGTATATGCATAAGAGGTTTAGTCAGGTGTCAGATGAATCCGCTTGCATGGAGTTCTGTGACCATCTCACCAAGACCTTTGATGCATACGATGAGTACTTCTAAGCAAGAGTATGGAGGAGTGGAGGCTGCCCAAGATCTTTAAACCACTGAAACGAAATCCAAAGACCAGACTGAATCCAGATATTCAGTGCCTCAGAGAGAAATAAATGGCATGTTTCTGTCAGGATGATGTCCCTTAGCCTTTCTCTAACCAAGGAATACCCACCAGGCAGCTAAGGCTAGGATTTTGAGGTACCCTATACTTGCCTTACTCTGGAGGTAACAACAGTGGTATTTTATAGAAGCTACCCTGCCACAATTACCCTATTAATGGCTTTGGTAAAAATGTCTATTGTCTATGGCAATGTCAAAATATTTAAATTTCCCCACCTTAGAAGGTTTAAATTCCTTATGGCAGGAGCACAGACAAATTGGTGGAGCCAATAGCGAGGCTGGTTTTGGTCGATAGCCTGGTGTGAGTAAATGAAAGACCTTTTTCTGAGCTCTGAATAATACATGTTGTTGACTCATATTAATGGCACTAACACTGTGGTAGGGTGTAACAAAGGATTCCAGGCTTTTTTTAAATAGACAAAAAATTACAGTCTAAAAGGCCATATATTTAAAAAGGAGACACCAGTTAGATCGGTATCCTGGATGCACTTCTCCAAGTAGTAGATAAATGGAATTAACCAGCAATAGCAACAATAGGAGAAATGAATGGGATCCCAAAATATAAACAGTAAGTTCTCTGAAGTAAATACACAGAGAGATCTCTTCTCCCCTCACAGAAGGTGCACAGTACACATTAATCCCAAGAGAAGACACATTACTGTGAGACCCATCCAATACCTAAAAAATAAGGAGACATCCAAGGAAACAAAGAGTTCTTCTATTCATACTGTCCTATTTTGCAGTAAAGGGACAAATGAAAGTTCAACAACAGGCAGACTCCCTTCAATCAGGCTGAAAAGAGGCAATTAAAAGTCATATATACAGTATCCTCAGGCAGATACACATTGTGTTATTCCATTTTAAATCACTGAATGCATTATTTGGTGGGATCAAATTACCTATCAAGTGCTTCTTTAAAGTATTTCTGCTGGATATCAAAGTGGAAGACTGTCCGTTCACAGTCAGTAGAAGCGTTGTCGCTGCCCCCATGTTCCTTCACAAAGGCGTCAAACCCATTCTCATCTGGATACTTTAAACTGCCCATAAATACCACTGGAACAAGGTAATCAAAATTGGGGAAATATTCTAAATAATTCTGATTGCAGAAAAGCACAGTTACATATAGAGAGCCTGATTTTTCTCTGCCCTACATCTTGTAATTATGTTTGTATAACTACACATATGTTTCCACGTGCAAAGTGTGAGTAAATTACTGTTTGATTTGGTAGCATTTTATACTCACTTCCACAAGGTATAAAGCAGTGGGGGACAGGTTCCTTAAATAATGACTCACATAAGAACATAAGTTAGAACAGGAAATCATTCACAAAAATTAAACAAAATGGTTTAGGTATGTTTTTTAATTGAACTTAAAAATAAGCAAAACTACTTCTCTCCATCTATTCCTATACAGATCACTATAAAAAAAATCAGACATGCAAACACTACAGCTTATCTAATTCACCATGTCTAGAATTGAGGGAAATGGTAGGAAACAATTATAACTTTCAGCCCTATCAGTGAAAGTAAAGAATTCATCTAAAGTAAAACACAGACTCTCAATAGCTGTCTGCAAGACAAAGCACAGGAAGCAGCACAGAAAATCAGTTTGTTTCTAGTGCCATTGCTAGAAAGATACAGACACGGTGATAAATTAAGTCACTATTCAATGCCTTACAGCAGCTCTTCATCATTATTCTACAACCATTACAAACTATATGGCTGGTTTCTTGAGAAAAGGAGGCTTGATATCTGACAGAATTTGAAAGATTAGTGTCTACACTGTACACTGGCAGACAAAGTTCTTTGGGTAAATGTGATATCTTTTATTAAACCAACTAAATGCTTGGAAAAATTGGTTTTTACAAGCTTTCAGGCACAACAACCCTGGCAGAGGGAGAGCCTGCTGGTGTTTGTGTGCTCTCCTGGATGGAATAAAAGCTTAACCTTGTCTGCCTACTTAGAGCAACACAGCTATAACCAACACCGCTCAAAACATAGAACATATACTATACATTTGCATTCAATTGCAAAATACAGACTGAAATTTGAACATAGCACCTAAAAGACATAACAATACCATGTGTTTTACACAAAAACGATTCTGTAAAAAGGCATAACACTTAAAAAACACTTGAAGAAGGTTTTAGAGAGAATTGACAGATTACAGTCTGTAGTATCAGCAAGAATTGGGGTAGGTCTAACCAGCAGAGCCGGAAGTATACAAAAACCAATTTTGAAAAAGAATCGTTGAGAGAGGCTACAAGTATTTTCCTTTATTTAAGCAGCATGCCCAATCATGAACACAAATACAAATCTATACACGTTAATTTAAATATCCATGTAGCTTAATATACATTTATCAGAGGACCAAATTCAGATTTGAAATCAAAGGAGTTGTACCAACTTATAACACCTGAATATTCAAACATCTGAATTAAGTCTGTAATGTTAAAATATAAGGATTCAGGATAAAGTGTTGGTTATTACTAACAAATTACCATTTAGCCAAATACGTGATGAGCTCAGATTAACTCCTAATGCATATTTCCATAACACTAACAGCTGTTGCCCTGCCAAAGACACTGTTCACAGCCTCCGAGGACTAAATGGACATATATATTCAAATGAACCACTAAACCTAGATGTTAATTGTTCTTTCATGCCAGATTTGAAGAAACTTAGAAATACATTATATAAAATCAGGAATTTTTATTAGCAGTGCATATGCTGTGTCTGCTTTGCTCTCCCTCTTTCACTGAGGCTTATTTAACCAATTACACCATTAAAAAAATTAAGACTTGAAATAGGTATATAATCCTGTATTCTTTTTCTGGAGTGTTTTATATAACACAATAAATCCAAAACACTATCAGACTTCCTCCTTTGGGGAAAAAGACTGAAATGTCAGATGATACATACTGTGCTCCAGAAAATGTGCCAACCCAGGTAGATCTTCAGGGTCACAGAAACTGCCCACACCAACACAAAGAGCAGCTGCAGACTGCAAATTAAATACAATAAAAGCAATGGAAGTTACTCCTAAAAATATCTTATCTAATAGGGAATAACTTGAGACCTATGTATTAGTATTACCCTATGCCCAACAGGAACAAAAGAGGGAAACAGACCAGGATGTTTCATTCTGTTGCCATGCCTGTTTGAATCATAGAGAGCAAACATTGAGTCCATGATCAGCAGCAACACAGATTTAACCCTGGGTTCTCAGACTTAACCATGGAAGCCATATACATGTGAAAGCAGATCCGATACACAAGAATGGAGCAGTAATTTGTTTCCCTGCAGTATTTGTGTATTTTGCACCAAGACAGCAGTTCACCATGTAACAAGTTTTCATTCTAGAACACTTGTACATACCAGTTTTTCCATACCAGTTTTCTCTGTATCTTCTTTTCCTGTTAGTTCTTCCATTTCTGTGTCATCAGAATCATTAAGCTTCTCATCATTATCATCACCATTGTCATCATCCTCACCACCATAACTTTCTTCGTCATCTTCAATTTCTGCCCCTGAATCATCGTCGTCATCATCATCACTTTCAGTATCAGTTTCATCTTCCTCTTCTGAAGACTCCTCAGAAGTAACACCATCCAAGCTAGTTATGTCCGAAATCAACAGCACACCCAAGCCATTTTGCAATTTGATATACCTGTGAAATTAATTACATGACTATGCTGAATCTTTCAGTAAAATGAATCAATCTTTGAATGCTGAAGCTCTACAAGGCAAAAAGGTAAAAACCAGACAGTTTCCCAGTACATTTTTGCCATTTAATGACATCTCCAGACAAAAACTAGCTTAAAAGTGTATTTGTACAGTACACAGCAAGTGGGGTCCTGTTCTTCAAGGCTAGGGACAGACATTACACATAAACTGGTTTAATACAATTAAAACAATTTACACAATACAATTGGCACATGCTAATTCTATGTCATGTTATGCAGCATGTTAAGAGTTGATACAATTGTAAACCTGCACAGCTCTGACTTGCCACTAAAGAGCTGGTAAGCAGGGGTGGCTAGAAGCCAGGACACACAGGGTCTATCCCTGCTCTGGGAGGGGCGAGGGGGTTACAGCAGGCTGTGCCATCATCTGCCTGCCTGCTTGCTGCTGCCACCACAACCCTTGGCCACAGATGACTCCACTGTGCAGCAGCCCAAGCAGGCAAACAGCAGCAAAACCACCCCGCAGCTCCCTACTCCTGCCATCTGCCTGCTCAGGGCTGCTGTGCTGCGCAGCAGACACCCATGGCGGGGGCAGCAGCCAGCTGCAAGGGGGAAATGAGTGCCAGGTTTGCACCACCACTGAGTGGCAAGCAAGCCTGAACTCCAAACCAACAGGGCTTGGAGGATGTGGGTGCAAAGGCTGCAAATCACCAGGCTCCAGGCCAATGGGCTCCAGGCATGGGAGTCCCCTCAGGGTACCTACTGCTGCAGAGACATTGGGGAGGGAAAACCCCCTTCACACCAGCACGTGCAGCACCAGCCTATTGCTACACAGGGGAGCATGTCTGGCAGGAACCCTGCCGTCTGCCATTTCCAGGCTTGTCCATGGTGCAGAGACCCCCTGCTAGCACACCCATCCCGCCACAGGGCCGCAGATCCCAAATCTGCCCTGCCAAGAAAGGACCTGGCTCCAGCATCCAGAGGCAGGAAGGCAAGCATAGGGTGGCCATCAGAAGACAGTCCAGTTGTCCTCTGTCCTCTATTGATACAAAACCCGATACCTTTATGTCCTCTACTTTTTTCTTGAAGAGAACATAAAGGCATCAGTTTTTGTATCAATAGAGGACAGAGTAGCAGAAAACCGGAATGTCCTCTGTGATGGCCACCCTAGGCAAGCAACTGAGGCCAGCTACACATCACAACTCCCAGGCCAGCACCAACCACCCCAGGGGCAGCCAGCAAGAGGCATGGGAGCCCCGCTGACCCTGGGGGCCAGACCCTGTGTCCAGCCCCCACTATGGACGCAGTGCCCTGGGACTGCTGGATGCCCACCTAGGGAACCCCCACACCTCAAGCTTCACATGCAGCAGATGGGGGGCAGGGACACAGAGGGGCTCCCCATCCACCCTGGCCATCAGAGTCAGCAGCACAGATGCCAGTGGGGGAAGGGCTGGGAACAGTGCATCCTGAGATACTGGAGGCCACTGGTTCCACCTCCACAGTGTTGCCAGGTGTACGATAATTATCACATTTGTACGACACATTCAGCACTTGTATAATGCACCATCGATACCAGTAAAAGCGTTCAAAACATACGAGGTATCCATGTCGTAGTCGTATTGGTCTGGAGGAAAAGGCAATCGGGACTCGTCGTAGAGATGATATCTTTTATTAGACCCACAAGATTTCTGCAGAAGATTTTGCAAGATTTAAAGAATTTTTTTTGCAAACATTTTGTGGGTCTAATAAAAAATATAATCTCTACGATGAGTCCCGATTGCCAAAACATGCGATAAGCTTTGAGGCAGGCAACGGATGCAGAGCCCAAGCCGCTCTCAAGGAGCCTTAACCCACTTTGGGGTTTGCTTTGAAATAAAGAAACGCTTCGACTTGGCTGACCCACTTCTCACTCGCTCACTGGGAGCCATATAAAATAAATAAGGCTTATTTGCATACTCATTTGCATAGTTCTTTCAGTGGACAGTACGTTTTGTATTTTTTTAGCAAATACAGTCGTTTTGGGCTTCCAAAGCTGTAATTTCATATTTAGGGCCTGGCGACACCGCAGAACCACGCGGGAGGCCCAAAATATGCAAATGTCTATGCAAATACATCTTCTTAATTTATTTTACGTCGCTCACTCGCTGCGAGTCTCCAGGGAGCGAGTACCCGTCAGAAGAAAGTGTTGGCGAGGCGTCACGTTCTGACGTCACGCCGCTAAGACCGACGCGAGGCGCGGCCATGAGGGGAGGGGAGGGGAGCGGGGCGGGGCGGGGCGGGCAGGCGAGCCCCCCGCCCGCGCTCACCGGTACCGGTTGGGGTCGCGCGGGGACTTGGCGATGTCGGGGTCGCCGCGGCCGCGCTCCGCCCGCCGGCCCTCGCCCTCCTCCTCCCATTCCC